AGACCTCCAGGATCCGCGACGGGCAGGACCGCCCCCACATCAGCCAAGGAGGACCTCGAGCACCCCCCCCCGCCGGCCTTCAACAGATTGAAGCGCCCTTTGCGGAAGTTTGAGCCGTTGTCGGTCAGCCTGGACCCTTGCTGGGCCCTGGGACCGCCAAAAGACGAGCCATGAGGAAGAGCCCTCCCTGACTTCGGATCCGCCGTACTTTGTCGGTTTCCCGATTCCATTTTGCGGTGGACCTTCAACCCGAAGGATGCGAACAAGCAGGGCGCAGATTTCCGCCTCAGGACGCGTCCTGCGGCTATCCCCGCAACCGTATGGCAGGAGCAGTGACGGCAAAGGCGTAGATGTTTTTCGCCCGGGTTGGTTTTCGCCCGGTGCGTTTCGCCCGGTTCGTTTCGCCGGGGTTTGCTTTCGCCCGGTTGGCTTTCGCCCGGGTTGGTTTTCGCCCGGATTGGCTTTCGCCCGGGTTGGCTTTCGCCCGGGTTGGCTTTCGCCCGGTTGGCTTTCGCCCGGGGTGGCTTTCGCCGGGGTTGGCTTTCGCCCGGTTGGCTTTCGCCCGGTTGGCTTTCGCCTGGGTTGGCTTTCGCCTGGTTGGCTTTCGCCCGGGTTGGCTTTCGCCCGGTTGGCTTTCGCCCGGGTTGGCTTTCGCCCGGGCTCGTTTTCGCCTGGGTTCAACTTCGCCCTCCTCTTCATCTTCTCCTCTTCCCTCTACTGTTCTTTCATGCTGCTGCTGCTGCTGCTGCTCCTCTTACCGAACCCGACCCGACCCGACCCGCCCCGCCCGTTAGGGTCCGCCCGACCCGACCCGACCCGCCCGTTAGGGTTCACGCGTGCTCACTCGAGCGTGCCCCACACCTCAGCGTCCCGCCCGACCCGACCCGCCCATTAGGGTCCGCCCTGCCGGACCCGGCCCGCCCGTTAGGGTCCGCCCGACTCGACCCGACCCGCCCGTTAGGGTTCACGCGTGCTCACTCGTGCGCGCCCCACACTTTAGTGCCCCGCCCGCTTCACCCGACCCGCCCGTTAGGGTCCGCCCGACCCGACCCGACCCGCTTCGCCCGCCAGGGTCCGCCTGCCCCACCCGACCCGCCCGTCAGGGCTCACGCGTGCTCACTCGAGCGCGCCTCCACACTTTAATTAGTGTCCCGCCTGCCCGACCCGACCAGCCCGTTAGGGTCCGCCCGACCCGAACCCGTCCCGCCCGTTAGGGTCCGCCCGACCCGACCCGACCCGCCCGTGAGGTTTCAGGCGTGCTCACTCGAGCGCGCCCCACACTTTAGTGTCCCGCCCGCCCGACCCGACCCGCCCGTCAGGGTCCGCCCGACCCGAACCCGTCCCGCCCGTTAGGGTCCGCCCGACCCGACCTGACCTGCCCGTTAGGGTTCACGCGTGCTCACTCGAGCGCGCCCCACACTTTAGTGTCCCGCCCGCCCGACCCGACCCGCCCGTTATGGTCTGCCCGACCCGACCCGACCCGCCCTGCCCGTTAGGGTCCGCCCGACCCGACCCGACCCGCCCGTCAGGGTTCACGCGTGCTCACTCGAGCGCGCCTCCACACTTTAGTGTCCCGCCTGCTCGACCCGACCCGCCCGTTAGGGTCCGCCCGACCCGAACCCGTCCCGCCCGTTAGGGTCCGCCCGACCCGACCCGACCCGCCCGTTAGGGTTCACGGCGTGCTCACTGAGCGCGCCCTAAACTTTCGTGTCCCGCCCGTCCCGTCCCGCCGACCCGACCCTCCCGTTAGTGGGTCTGCCGAACCCGACCTGACCGCTCGCCCGCCAGGGTCCGCCTCCCCACCGACCCGCCCGTCAGGGTTCGCGCGTGCTCACTCGAGCGCGCCTCCACACTTTAGTGTCCCGCCTGCCCGACCCGACCCGCCCGTGAGGGTCCGCCCGACCCGAACCCGTCCCGCCCGTTAGGGTCCGCCCGACCCGACCCGACCCGCCCGTCAGGGTTCACGCGTGCTCACTCGAGCGCGCCCCACACTTTAGTGTCCCGCCCGCCCGACCCGACCCGCCCGCTAGGGTCCGCCCGACCCGGCGCGACCCGCCCCGCCCGTTAGGATCCGCTCGCCCGACCCGGCCCGCGTCAGGGTCCGCTCGACCCGTCCCGCCCGTTAGGGTCCGCCCACCCGATCGGGCCCGCACTCTCGGGCTCACCCGTGCCCACTTGAGCGCGCCCCGCATTTTTTAGCGTCCCGTTCTGACGCATCTCAGACCCTCCCTGACATCTGGGACCTCCTTGACCCCCCCCACACGTCTCTGCGACCCTTTCGCCTACTCAAGCGGCGCGCCTCAAAGGCTCCCAGGGGTCAGCACGGCGGCGGCGACGGCCACGCCAGCGACGGCGGCGCCTACTTTTGCCCCTGAGCCTGCCCCGCCTGCTCCCCGCCCGGCCCCGGCGAAAGCCAACCCCAGCGAAAGCCAACCCCGGCGAAAGCCAACCCCGGCGAAAGCCAACCCGGCGAAAGCCAACCCCGGCGAAAGCCAACCCGGCGAAAGCCAACCCCGGCGAAAGCCAACCCCGGCGAAAGCCAACCCGGCGAAAGCCAACCCGGCGAAAGCCAGCCCCGGCGAAAGCCAACCCCCGGCGAAAGCCAACCCCGGCGAAAGCCAACCCCGGCGAAAGCCAACCCCGGCGAAACGAAGCCCGGCGAAACGAAGCCCGGCGAAACGAAGCCCGGCGAAAGCCAACCCCGGCGAAAGCCATCCGTGCCCCGGCGAAAGCCATCCTCCTCCCTCCCTTCCTCCCTGCCCTCCCTCCCTCCCTCCCTCCCTCCCTCCCTACCTCCCTCCCTCCCCCTCCCCCCCGCCCCCCCCCCCCCCCCCCATGACACATCCCTCCTCCGTCCACTCCGCCCGCGTCTGCCTCCTCCTCCCCCCCTCCTCCCCGTCTCATGTCCTCCCCCTCCTCACCCCTCCTCCGCCTCCTCCACCTCCTCCTCCTCCTCCTCCTCCTCCTCCTCCTCCCTCCTCCTCCTCCTCCTCCCCCTCCTTCCCCCTCCTTCCCCCTCCCCGACCCTGCCCACTGACGCAGCCCGGTCCTGCGGGAGCAGCGACTGCATGAGCGCGGCATACTGCGAAGGGGGTGCGAAGAGGACCTCGCCAGGCGCGCGCACCCAGGCGGCCCAGCGCCGTCGCCAGCGACGACGACGACGACGACGACGACGACGACGACGACGACGACGACGACGACGAGGCTGCCAACCACAGCGACAGCGGCGAAGGCGAAGGCCCGTCCTGGACGTCCTCCACCTCCTCGTCCCAGCGCCGCGCGCATTCGTGACTAAAGCTTGCAACCATTTCAAAGATGGCCACAGCGAAAGCAGCGAAGGCGAAGGCCCGTCCTGGACGTCCTCCGCCTCCTCGCCCCAGCGCCGCGCGCATTCGTGACTAAAGCGTGCAACCATTTCAAAGATGGCCACAGCGAAAGCGGCGAAGGCGAAGGCCCGTCCTGGACGTCCTCCGCCTCCTCACCCCAGCGCCGCGCGCATTCGTGCTCAAAGCTTGCAACCATTTCAAAGATGGCGGGCGGCTCATGTTTTCAAAGGGTTGTTCTTGACCACGAAAAAAAACACATCCCCAATCCCAAAATCGCGGATTTGGCGAGGATTCGAAGATCGGCCAAAGATTTCGGGGTCTGTTTTGCGTTCGTCGTCGTCACCCTGGTACAACCCTACCCCAGAATCTCCCTCCCCGAAGTCTCGAGGTGTCTGCGTTTTGGCTTGGCCCCCACGTTTTTGGGATTGAGCGTCTGTTTTGAGTTAGTGAATTCTCGCCTCAGCACCGCGAGCGTTCGTCTGAAACTCTGATGTAGCTTCACGGATGGACAGCGGCTTCGATTCAAAATGTGGCTCTCGCCCTACCACCGCGCACACTCGTTCAACAACAAATCTCTAACAGCGCCTTGACGTTACACTGGTCGTCCGCCTGCTGCTCGAGCGACAGGATGACAGCCTCATTAACGTTGAGGAGTCGTTCTCGTTCACGGTGTACGGTTCATTGAGAGGTCCTTCACACTGTTCGTCACCCTCCTCCTCCCCATCATAATCCTCCTTCTCCTCCTTCTCCTCCTCCTTCTCCTCCTCCTCCTCCTCCTCTCCTCCTCCTCCTCCTCCTCCTCCTCATCATCATCATCATCATCATCATCATCATCATCATCATCATCATCATCATCATCACATCATCATCATCATCATCATCATCATCATCATCATCATCATCATCATCATCATCATCATCATCATCATCATCATCATCATCATCATCATCATCATCATCATCATCATCATCATCATCATCATCATCATCAGCAGCAGCAGCATCATCATCATCATCATCATCATCATCATCATCAGCATCATCATCATCATCATCATCATCATCATCATCATCATCATCATCATCATCATCATCATCATGATCAGCATCATGATCATCATCATCATCAGCATTATCATCAGCATCATCATCAGCATCATCAGCATCATCATCATCAGCAGCATCATCATCGTTATCATCATGATCATCATCATCATCAGCATCATCATCAGCATCATCATCAGCATCATCAGCATCATCATCATCAACAGCATCATCATCATCGTTATCGTTATCGTCATCATCAGCAGCATCATCATAGGCGTCATCATCACCACCACCATCACCATCATCAGCATCATCATCAGCATCAGCATCAGCAGCCGGCATCAGCAACATCAGCATAAGCCTTAGCATCAGCCTCGCCAACATCGCAATCACCATCAGCATCGTGATCAACCGTCGTCGTCGTCATCATCAGCAGCAACAGCCGCAGCAACATCATCACCACCACCATCATCATAAGCAGCATCATACTAATCATCATCATCACCACCACCACCATCAGCATCACCACCATCAGCATCAGCATCAGCATCAGCATCAGCATCATCGACATCATCATCATCATCAGCATCATCATCAGCATCATCAGCAGCATCATCACCAGCAGCATCATCATCATCATCATCATCATCATCATCATCATCATCATCATAATCCGCCGCAGCATCAGCATCAGCATCGTGACGCTAAGAGTGGCCAGGAAACCTTCTGTGTGTCTCGGGCCAGGCGGGTCCAGCAGGACAGGGCGGCACCCGGGCCGAGCTCGGCTCGAAAAGAACGAAGGAGGAGGGACGAGCGGGCGACACTGACACACAACAGAACCACAAACACACAACAACCACAACACAACACAACACAACACAACCAAACGAGAAGGAGAGAGAGAGAGAGAGAGAAGACCCCTAGACACCCCAAACGGGATTCTGGTATTTGCCGCATTCTTAAGCTGCAATGGTCTGGCGGAGACGGGCTAAACGATTTGAGCCGATACTGCGTTTCAGAGCCCGGGCAAAACACGAACAGAAACAAGGGAGATAAGGCTCAGCAGCGCGGGTCCACAGTTTGCCCGAGCTCGGATCAACTCCAGTCAGAACTATGTGGGGCTTGGACGAATGACTGCATACACCACCCCGACCGCGACAAAGCGCAGGAAGCTGGATTGAAAAGCTAGGAGCCAAGACTTGCACCCTGGTCCTTTTGCGCCAACGAGCCCCGAAGCCACAGCAATCCACGGTGCAGGCCTGGCTCGTCGGGCGACGCGCCAGGCGCTCGAGCGAGGGGCCCTTCCACAACCAGCTGGACCCAGGGTTCTCGAGCGCCACAGGAGTGCCAACTCGGAGGCAGCCTCGAGCCACCCGAAGACAAAACCGCAACTGGTCGTTCCCCCTCTCACACACTTTGGAGGCCCTGGAGTCCAGATTAGGGAGGCCCCAAACGTGCTCGGCACTACCCAGTCGGCATCACCTGGAGCCAGGTGGCCCGTGGCGGGCATGGGACCAGGTGCGGCAAGGGGTTCCCATCCACACAGCTGAAACCAGGTTGCTGGTAGTCCACCCCAGAAGCGTCGTCTGAACGACGCGGCGGTTCAAGTCGAACCAGGGCTGTTTCAAAATATCGACCGAAATCGCGGCGTGGCCACGGGCCCGCATGGCCCTGGACACGCCCGCCTCCCCGGCGAGAAGCTCCAAGAAAATCTGGCTGTGGCGACTGCTTGCTGAACCTAGGGCGCGCCACAAAATGCGGCGAAGGCGAAGCCTTACCTCAGAATCCGTCAACCCAGGCGCGCCAGGAATGGCGCCGGTGGCAGCGCCGCGCCTTCCAGCACGATGCTGGCCAGGTTGGTCTGCACCGCGCTGCCGAAGTCCAGCGCGGCCTGCGGCACCTTGTGGAGCTCCGCCAGCGCGCGGGCCTCCTTGCCGCAGCGCTTCATCATGGCGTCGCTGCGCCAACGGCCGCGCGCCTTGACCTCCAGAGGGCCCCGAGGCTTCGCCAGCAGGTCGCGCGAGGCACCGCCGCGCCGCAGGCCGTTGGCGGTGATGCCCATGGCGGCCACGCCCAGCGCCTCGGCCGCCTCCTGGATCCTGATCGTGAGGTTGCCAGGCTCGAGGGTCCAGATCCGATGGTCCGGCGAGCGGCGCCCCTCGTTCAGCTCTCTCAAGCAGGGACGCAAGAAGTCGAGGTCGTCGAGCACCACGCTCTCGTCCCAAGCGCCGACCTTGGTGGGTTTTTCCAAATCCACTGGGCCCAGGAGGAGGCCCCAGCAAAGGGCCTGGGGGCCCGCGGCGGCCACGGGCGGCACCAGCTGGAGCGCCGTCAGCGAAACGCACTCGCCGGGCCGCAGGTACGCGCTGAAAGAGAGCAGGACGGCCACCGCGTGCTCGACCAGGCGGCGCGACAGCAGGTGGCCCACGATGGCGAGCATCAGGACGTGCGGCACGGGCACGCGCGTCTTGCGTGGGACGACCTTCGCCCATCCAGCTAGCGCTCGAACCGAGCGCGGCGGGCTCTGATCCCCGTAACGGCCCACCTCTGGGCAGTAAAGCTTCACTGCAGCTAACGTCTTGCTGGCCACATCGCCCGCCATGCCCATGCAGAAAAGCTTGTCCAAGTAGAGGACCAGAGCATTGTTGAGGTCTTTCACATCGTTCCCGTCGGGGCTTGCCTCCAAGGCCCACTCGAGAAACGACCTCATCTTCTTGAAGTAGTCCTTGCAGTAGCCTCTGCTACCGAGCGGCTCTCGAGGTACGTCATGTGGGACGAGTCCTGAGGGGCACCGATGTCGGCGATGATCGGCGGCACCGGGTCCGTCGCGCCGCTGCTGCTGCCGCCGACGGCGCCGCTAGCCCAGCCAGCCAGCCCCCCTGGGTCGCCACCAGGGTTCGCATCTGACTACCTACCAGACCACCCCAACCCAACCCGAAGACCCGAATTTCGGGTTGGGGGGGGCACGGGTTCCATGTGTGTTTTTTCAATGTTCCCCGACCCCCCCCCCACTGGAAATGGAGGGAAAATTGAAGCCTTCGGGTTGGGTTGGGGTCGTTTCGTGGGTGGTGAGCATCTGGTAAAGGGCCGAACGCGCCTAGGGCTGGGAACCTCGGGGCGGCTTCAAAAGGCTCAGCAGGTTTACCATCGCGATCAGCATCACCGTGCTTGACGGCCAGGCCCAGCTCCTGCTGCCGCTTGATGTAGGACAGGCCTCGGGACGGATTGTCCGCTGGACCCCTTTCGGACGGAACCCAGCGAACATGTATATGGAGACGGCGCCCGAGGGTCAGAGCTGCTAGCACGCGCAGAACATCCCGAAGTAGAACGGCCGCCGAGCGGCCCTTGCCTACCGCCAGAGCGAGTCCCACGTTGTCGACAAGGGCGAAAACACGATGCCCGAATGCTCGACGACCCAGAAGGGCGTGGCGCAGGGCGCTCGAGAGAGCGAGCCCCTCAAGACGCAGGATGTTCGCTGGGCCCCGCCATGGAAAAGACTCCACGATGTGCCGAGCCTCGGCGTCCGTGAAGCTTGCCTCGATCAGGTCGCACGACTTCTTGTACTCGCCGGCCCGTCGAAGGCCGTCAGGAACGTCATCCGCGCAGGCGACCTCCGCGACGTCAGCAGCAAACGCGCGACTCCCGGCAGCAGCGGCGCCCTGCTTGTAGCGCCACTTCTCCGCCGCGCGGCCCCAGCGAGCGACCAGCCCCGGGCCCGCCCGGCGCACGCGCG